AAACACCACAAATCAATCAAATCAATTTTTCGATCAGTTGTGTACACATCCGTGTAGCGGTGTCTTGCATTCCTCGTGTTCACTATGTTGGCAGTCACGCTGGTTCTGTAAAAGCATGGCTGGCCGTGGTAAAAGTTACGGTGTTTTGAGATAGCATGTCGCCGTTCGTGGCGCTATGCGGGCAACCAATGGGGAGTCGTGACTGCAACGCTACTACATGCTCGGCGCCGTGATGCAGTGACGGCATTGCTTCAAGCCACAAAAAAAGTAGCACGAAGGAACAAATCTTACATACCTACAATAATCTAGTGGGAAATACGTCGATCTTAAATCCGAGGGAAAGAGCTCGGAAGCACGTGGGATGCAAGCAGCACGACCCCTCATGCAGCGTCGTAGCACGACGATTCCCTAAACTAAGGCGGACCAACGACTCCCGTTGATAAGCGCGCGTTTGCACCGGTATTGAAAGAAGTAGAGGAAGCGTTGGCTGAACAGTAAGATCACCTTTACACAGTTTATCGTAACCTCCTGCAGTGTTTTCGAATGGTCTGGTCAGATCACGCGAGTGGTTGAGCACATCCGGGCACCTACACGAGCACCAGCGATAACGCTGGAATGTATGTGAGATAACGCATGGCGGCATCGCTCGTGGAGTAGATTACCGGTGACAGACCACCGTGTTTGCTGCCGTCATTGCGCTTTGAGTGTGTACACTATGATATAGTACAGTGGTTACTCGGCTTCTGACCCGAAGGGCATGGATTCGATTCCGATCGCAACATTTAGATGGGCGTGAAATAGTAGAGGCCCATGTCCTAGGCGATATCAGTGCACGTTAAAGAATGCCAGATGGTCACCATTTTTGCAGCCCTCCACTACAGCATGCCTCATAATTATGTAGCAGTTTTGACACACATACGGTGAAATACTGCATCACGACATTTGAGTAAGTTCTGCTCCGCACACAACGCAGCTTCGCCATTATTTGTCTTCCAGGTCTGATTAAGCTATGATGTCCCGTTTCCTTCTGTGCACAGTGTCAGTATTTAACGGCGTTTTCTACACATCTTTTATTGTTCACACACAGGGGAACGAAATAGGAAATCTAATGCTTTAAACGGACAGACAACAGGTCAGAACGCGCGATTGGAACCTAGTTTAAATGGAAGGACTGCGAATGATACTCGTAGTGACAGAGTTGACCATTCTTTTCGTGTTTCGAATAGGATTTGTATTCCAAAATCTGTTCGCTGTGTGGTAGGGCAAACAGGAATAACGACGGCGGCACGCACACGCTTCGTCCTCATCTACCTCTGCTTGCCTCCCACAAGACGTTCGCCGATTTGTACGACGCGAAATGCAATAGCTTCAATGGAGGAGTCTCTTGTGTGACTAAAAAATCACAGAACGTCACGTAACTGTAGTTAGGTGGCTAGAATAATGACACATCACGTAGCTACTCGTGTAACTAAATATCACGTAACATCACGCAACCTCTAGTCGCGTTACTCAAATCATGCAACATTTAGAGACATGACTAAAACCTTAGCATCGGTAGGTAATGCTTGTCGTTACTATCGAAACTTGGTCAGATGCACCGATGATGGTTGGAGCCTAGCGTCATAGGTGCAAGCTGCGCACGGTTCTTTACTTTTTTTTTTAGGGGCGGTCGTCTCTGTAGTAACCACCTCTCTCAGGTATGTGCCACAGGGGAGTTCAGTTCTTGGAGTGCCCGTTAGATGGCTGTGCTTGTATATAATCAATATTGACCTTGAGGACATACCGTGGCGCCACCTACGAGATGATGTCATTCATAGGATGCCGGATTGTGTTGTCTGCTATTTACCGCATTTCCTGCGTTTTTGCTGTGGACACCGTGCGCGCCAGCCTTTGTTTTGAAGCTCAGTGCTTAAAAAAAAACGGTAAGACCTGATAATACGGGCAAGGAAACTACGAATTGATGCCCCCAGTGGCACTCTCGTGTCTAATTTGCATCATAAAATTGCGACTAAAAACCGGTGCAGCCATGGGGAACGAAGCAGGCAAGGCGAGCGCACGCATCCTATCTGTGACGTCAAAACGATCGCGGCACTGGCCTCACTAGTGGAGGCCCTCGCGGCCAATATTATGAAAATATGTGTGATGGTGGTACTTGCAGTGTTCACTAGACGGACGGACATACAAACAGATAGACGTACAGACGCACGGACGGACAGATCGAACCACTGTTGGACAGACGAATGGATGCACGAACGGATGAACGGACGCTTCGCCCCACTCATCGTCATTCACTCCGTGGATATGCTGTGATTTTTTTGTTCCATGGTTACGTTGAAGACTCGGTGACCGGATGAGGCTTCTCTCAAAAAAAGAAAATTGAGAACAGTCACTCCTGTGTAAGCGATGAAGACGGGTCGGGCCACTAGAACAAGGCCCATGGACCGTGCATTTTAGACACCTGGTTAAAACAGTCAGGCTACCCGCCGCTGTCTTGTAGAGATTATGGTGCTCAGCTGCTGACCAGAAGGTCACTGGTTCGATCCCGGCTGTGGTGGTCACATTTCGGTGGAGGCGAACTTGTACAGGCCCGTGTACTATGTGATGTCAGTGCACGTTAAACAACCCCAGGTGGTCAAAATTTCCGGAGCTCTCAACTACGGTACCTCTGAATCATATCGTGGTTTTGGGACGGTAAATGCCAAGAACCATGATTATTTTAAGGCCAGGTGCCAGGACTCGAATCACTTTTTGCGTCTCTACTTCTATATCCGAACCTTCGCTGCATATTACATCAAGTTTCGAATGAAGGCTGTCTATGCAGGGTGAAACAAACGGACACACATCGGTATATGTGCTATATGTCAGCTTGACCTTTCTTCTGCGCCTTGGTCAGACAATGATAGTGTACGGCGCAAACGCCGTGACGCTGTAAGAAGCGAGTGAGTTTCACGCCAGTGATGACAACTTTGAAGTTTTTCGATTAGGCCGGAACCCGTGTTCTGTGTTCGTTCTCCCCGCTTTCGTGCAGGAGCTGCACGAGATCGATTTCCTTATGACGGACGATTACGTTACATTGAAATGATCACTTAAGTAAAGTTTTTTTATCATCTTTTTGAAATTTAATTTAATGGCAGTTATTTATACATGTAGCATTTTCGGTAGAAGCAAGAATGCTTGAGGTTCTTGCACCTAGATTTAGCTGCACATTAAAGAACACCGGGTGGTCGACATTTCCGAAGCTCTAGACTACGGTTTTTCTCATAATCATATGGAGGCTTGGGGACATTAGGCCCCAACAATTATTAATTCTTTATCTAGAAAAGTTGCAGGACGTGACACTTTATGGCACATATCTATTTTGTAAGCCATAAAATGACGTAATTCATAATGATACATCTTGAAGTTGAAGGCCCCTGTTCAAGTAATATCTAAAGTGAGCGCCACGTTTTTAACTTTTGAACTTTTATTTTATTGTGCCATTTTTATATTTACCATTGCGCCTTTTTTATCCAATCTGGTGATATTAAATGCGCAGCACTACAGGGGCCTGGGCTGTCATATGCCGTGATCAGTTGGGGGCACGCAGGCAATACGACGTGTAAATATGAAAAAATAGTTGCATGCAAGAAACTGGACAGAAAGAAAAAGCGAAAAAAATGGAAAGAACTACAGAAAGTATTACAGATGAAAAGCGAAAAAAAGGATTACAGAAAAAACTAGAAAAGAGAAGAAAGGGAGGAGGAGGAAACTGAAAAGAAACAAGAGAGGGCTGTCCAGTTTCGCACTTTCTTCAGGCTTGGAAAACTTGTGCGAAGCCGCGTTGAATTTCTTTAGTGCAGAATTATTTTTAAAAAGTCACAGCTTTTCCGCAGAGGCAAAGCAATGAACGCGATAGCAAGCAACAAATTGGTATGTCACGCGTAGAATTGAAAGTAGATCGAAACGTGCCCCGCGTTTCTCACGCACCAATAACGCAGGAAACGTACTCACAGGTAGAGATGAACGAGAAAAAAAAAGCGTCGCAGTTGGTACTTCGCTTCATCTGAAAAGCATGCTCTTTTCGCAAACGGAGACTGTGGAACGATTGCAGCGACATTTGTGAGCTCGGTAACTACAACAGAATTGTTTCGGTGAAAGCTTAAGGACATTGAAGACATAAGATGCTCCCAACCGCGAGATAATGGCACGCGGGTGTGCGTTTAAAGGCTTAACGACCACTCACTCCCACGCATAAGTTGCGAGGCAAAGTACGCGTGGGAGATGAGGGCGCGCGCCGCCGCACACTTACTGCGCCATTTTGCTGGTAATGCTGAAAACACAATAGTCCCCCCCCCCCTTCCCGCGCGAGACGCTCATCACCAGCGGTAAGTGGTAGATATAAATAGCTTGTTGTTTGCACGTTGAAGGCCGTGTGCCTCAGTGGTTCATTGATTAACTCCTTGGGCACGATGCGGAGGTTCCAAGTTCCATTCCACGCGCCGAAATCTGTGTCTGCATTTTTTGTCTTGCGTTTTCATATATACATACGTATACATATACGCTCAGTGTCGCCGGCGGCAAAATCCAGCCGAGAGTGTCCCTACAACTGCTATCGCAATAAAAGCTTCTCAGCGAAGAATATTTGTATGAGAGGGCCAACAATCGTCTGTTTAAAACAAACACCATGCAAACTGTCTCTCTCTCTTTCTGTTTACTTTTTTTTGGCCCGGCACATCTGTCTTCTGTTGTGGACATACCAATTTGTGATGGTACACACGACATATTCTTTTGCTTATATCTAACTACTTTATCCGCTCATTCAATAAAATTGACCACATAATCACAGTGCTGCTGCAACAAGAAGCTTGTCGTTTTTGTCTAAGGGGACAATATCTACAAAAAAGAAAATGAGTGCACAAAATTTCAAGAGCTTCCTACATACTGACGGCGTTCTGGCGATTCGGCTTCTTTTTATTTGCGTGACAAAATAAACCACTTTAATGACGGTAAACTTACCTTCATTTTATTAGAAAAAATATCGTTTATTTCGAAGGTACCATGAAAAGAGTGATATGATTTCAGAGTAGCTATTTCTTTGCACTATGATTTCCAGATGAACACATCGTTCTTCGTGCTAATGCAGTTGCATTCATGAGCACTTCTTGCTCCACAACTGTTTTTTTTCTAATTACTTCCAGTTTAACCTATATGCATACCCTACATAATATTTTGCTCCTGCTTTAAGAATTCGATTATTTCATGATCTAATGTATAAACTTTCGCAATCTATACTGTACGATACTTTACACTTCACTGTACACGTATTGCAACAAAACGAAACTATGCAGTACTTTTTTTTTTCACTAGTCTGCCATCCCCAATGCCTTTACCTTTAGTGCACACGAGGTGTATGGCATTAGAAGGAATATTTTATTTTGCGTGTTTAGAGGTAGAAGCATCGTTTACCTCACACACAAAAACTTTTTGCCGTACCATTTCAGGAGGGGCAGTAAGTGCCCGTGCAAGCAAACAATACTTGAAACGTGACGTCTGATCTAAACTTTGGAACACATTCAAACTTCGTAAATTTTTATTGAGACCGATCTTGAAGTTTTGTTACGCAACAATTACGTCATTATCTACCACATTTGTTAAGGGTGGCAGTTCTGCAGTGATACTATTGAGATCGATGTGTGCAAGAGGTGTCATGTAAATTGTAATGCGTCATTTGTATGTATCCCATATCGCTGTTAGACAAAGCCACATGTTGTGACTTCAATAGCATGTAAATTGTATTGTTTGAAGTCTGGATGGCTCCTTTCATCCGACATGAGCTTTCGCACTGGTTACATCAGAATGATGTCAAAGGCCGCGAGCTGCCTGGCGTTGAAGGTAGGCGTTTCGAAGTTCCTTTCGCAGGTACTTGCCAGTGTCAGACTTCGGTATGGTCGATAGAAATTCCACGCCGCCATGCAGGTGCTTCTGTGGGGCGGTATGAGCTGCAACAAAAATATAAGGTTTCATATGAGGTTCTTATAGTAAATTATAAAAAAAAACGTAAACAGAGGTCATGAGCACGAGCCGACGTTCGGACAAGTGGACTTCTCTGCCTGAGGAATAGAACTGAACTGATATTTATGTATTTTTTCATAGCGAGCTTTCATCTTTCCCTTCCTACCGTCTTTCGTTTTTTTTGGATTAGGAACATAATAGAAATTGATTCCATATAGCCGGAGTACTTAAACCGTTAGTGCGGAGAAGTGGCGAAAACTGTGAGTAAAATGAGGTGAAGTCCATGTCTAAGACAAGGGTCTATGTGAATGAAGGATTGCAAGACCTAGAGATGTAATTGATCGCACGCACGCACACCCCCAAATAAAAAAAAATGTCCAAGTATCTCCATGTTTCACTGCAAAAATCCTTGAATGACAAAAGTCTTGCGTCTACAGAGAGTGAACAAAATATTTTTTTTGATGTTCTGCACGAGGAAATCGGTGAATTGTATTATAAAATTGCTGCGTTAGAGTGCCTCAATCCGTACAGCGAAGGTGAACGAGCGCATCGAGGCACGTGAGACATGAGCGCTATCTGGCAGTTATCTTCGAAAACGAAGGAAGGCGTGTGCGCCTGTCTCGGAGGCAATGGGGTGTAGAGCGCAAAGCGATGGGCAGGTGCCGCCACCGTGTCGTCTTAGGAAAGCGTTGGAAACACTTTCCTTTTTGTGCATAGCGTCATATTGTCAGCGCAGCGTGATAAACGCTACGGTCCTTAGAATTACTTATCAATGTCTTTTAAAGTATAAAGATACACATACACAATATTGACGTGTTTTTATCGTGCCTCAGATATGCGCATTAATTGCTTTTATATGACAATCGCACAAGTCGGAACGCTGAAACTTGAGGAATATTGGTGGGTGCTGTGCATGAGTTTGGATTTTGGCCGTTTGGGGTATCTTTTCTGCGGACAAACAGACAGGTGTACAGAGAGACAAAAATTTTTGCGTCGAAGTATCCCAAGAAAAACTATCGCCTTTAAAAACAGTCATGAAGAAGTTTTTAGAAATTTTATAGTATGTTTGATACTTCCCAAGAGCTCGGTTTCGGGTGACACCTGTATAGCTTCTTTCAGCTTTCTAGCGTTCGTCAGCGTCTAAAGGAGCCCCATGGCACGACCATCCTGTGACCACCCAAAAAGCGTGTTTGGATTAAAAGTTTCGCAAAGTTAGCAATTTCATGATGTGTTTCGATCCTACACATCGGCTTTGTATGTTGTCCTGGACAGGGCTTTCATTCCACTACCCCGGAATTCAATTATAAGTGTCGTTTTGCATTTGTTTTAAAACACGGATTTAAGTTATTCATATGGCTTCAGATGTATTCATATTGCGTGAGCGTGAATGAATAGCCGAGTAAATAAGAGACTCGCTTTCTTGTGTGTATGACTGGTTTCAAAGCAGGTGACGTCAATTGAGTTTACCTTGTTTTATTTCCTCGTTTTCCTATGGTGATGATCGTTTTACGTTACAGATGAATGGACGGGCAGTTTTCTCGTTGCGTCGGCGTGGAATTGAAAGAAACAGCCACGAAAAAGGTGGTGTGAAAGGCAAATCTCAAAACAAAGGTGGGGTTGTTAAAATTATGCAATAACTCAATCTTGGTAGAATTTTTCAGATAGTGGGTCTTGGCGTTTTCAAGACGCAAACCACCGGGCGTACGTACAAAAGGACAGAAACTAGAATAAAAAAAATAAATTTGCTAATAACACAATTTGTGGCTTGCGAGTGGTTTGGGGTCTTGCTTGCGCCTACATCTTTGCGTTAACCAAAGACACCAAATGGGAAGTCCCGGAGTGATCAAGTTGGAATTCCAATTTTATACCTACTCTCAATGTAGATTTTCACTGGTTTGTAGCTGATGTTTTTTTTTGTAAACCACTTTTTCTTTATTGCTGAATAATATTGTCGCGAAGCCAGAAAGAACTTTCATCGACTCTATCAGGGGAGTGGACGCTGTCGTCTCCACTCCCCCGACAGAGCCATGATCCCTGTTGTGAGCCCGGCAGTATAGTCTCCCGGGCAGTACTTCCGGGCTCACAGCAGGCCTGATACAGCCTTGATACATCAATAGAAGCCGTGCAAGATTCTTTGTTCGAGGAAACAAAAAAAAAGAAACTAGCCCAGCAAAAATTTCTTCTAAATTAGGTTTCTTTCTGTTTCCAACTCTCCAAAGAAGCCAGAAAAGTCTTGGTTTCGACGGTGTTTCCGTCATCGAACTGACTATCACAGAGTCTCTGAAAAAAGTCGCAGCAGGTGACATTCAAGCAGCCTTTGCACGGGACACTCGAGTTGTAATTGGTGTACTGACGGCCGAAAAAATATCTTGTCCAATATAATAATATATACCAATCAGACCAATAAATTCTTACTTTCAGAGCCAGTTTCAATACTTTTGGGTAGACACTGTAAACTTTTTCGACAAGCCTAGGTGGCTCATATTCATCTGAACAGTGCGTTGGCACCGGTTTCTTACCAGAAACAAGTGCTTCGAGATCAGCGGCAGTGGCCTCGTTCGGCGCGTATCCAGGTTTGAGCACGACGAACGCCCTGGGTGCCTCGCCATACTCGACGTGAGGGACGCCCACCACAGCTGCCTCCTTAACGGCCTCGTGCTGCGTCAGCACTTCCTCAATCTCTGAAGGGGCCACCTGCCGGTCCATGCACTTGAACATATCCTTAATGCGGTCCACAATGTAGAACTCGCCGGACTCGTTGTAGTAGCCGATGTCGCCTGCCCACGCATAAGCGAAAAAATGGACAGGCATTTCTCCTCGTAGTGCACTCAGTAGGAAGAAACAGAACTTGAGCAAAACGAGAGCTAGAACCGAGGTGAGGAATAAACACTTATTTGTGTTTGTCTGCTCTCACCCGTCACGCTGCTCTAGTGATTATGTGGTTTGACTGCTGACAAGAAGGTCACTGAATCGAATCGTGGTCATGGCGGCTACATTTTCGATAGAGGTGAAAATGCTTCAGGCCCGTGTACTCAGATCTAGGTGCAATGTAAAAAACCATGAGTCGTCGAATTTTGCGGAGACTTTCTCTATGGTATCTCTAATGATCATATCATTGTTTTGGGACGTAAAAGCACATCCATTATTTGTGTGTCTTCTCCTATCAGTCATTCATTGTAAGTTTTTCCTCACATAATTGTGTCATATTAAGGGTTGCAGCTTGACAAGTTGAGGAATATGTCAGTCAGCTTGATTCAGTACACTACTACAAAAGCGCAACCCGCCACACTGGCCTAGTGATTATGGTGCTCAACGGTGGACCCAAACGTCACGGGATCAAATCCTGCCCGCGGCGACCGAATGTTTGGTGGATTGAGGCCCGTTTGCTTAGATGTATAGGTGCACGTAGAAGAAATCCTGGTGGTTGAAATTTCCGGAACTCTCCACTATACCGCGTACCTCATATTCATATCGTGGTTTTATAATGTTGAACCCCAACCATTATTATTATATCGCTACAAAGACACAAACAATTAAAATACTGCCATAATTGATGTATCTAGCCATGTTAAGATCTCTACCACTACAGAAGAGTAATTATGAAGGCAATAAAAGAATACTTCTGTTTCGTTGTTTTTGAGGCTTTTCGGGCTCATTTCTAGAAACACCCTGTTTCGCATCACATGCTTCACGGAGCTGTAGAAAACGATGAAATCTTCTGGGCACCTCTTACCTGTCCGCAAAAAGCCCTCTTTGTCATAAAGATTGGCCGTGGCCTCACTGTTGTTCATGTACCGACTGATACAGGCAGGGCTCTTGATGCATATTTCCCCTGTTTGCTTGGGACCCAGTTTCTCACCCGTGTTGACGTCAACGACCTGCACGAAGGATCCAGAAAAATTTGCAGCCTAACCATTCTGTGCAATGAAAAGCAAGAATACAAAATGAATAACCAGAACGCAAATAAGAAGTTTGTGCGAAGCGTATTTTATTTTGGTTACATGAAGACCTGTTCAACATGTTCGGGCAATTTTTTTTACCAGAACGCGTTGGAAGCGTTTTCATTTTATGTAGGTGTTCGCAACTATGGGAAAAAAGACGAATGATAAAGACTTCCTGCGAACGATTAGGTCGCCGTCGGTGCTGTACAGCAGCAATAACCAATACGACATTATGAATCCGTTAAGGCTATTGCCTTCTAATGGAGTGAACATATGCTAGGCGATGACAACCACACACACACAAAGATTCTAATGAATCTTTTTTACCTTTTTTCGATGAAGCCTTCCTTGTCGTTTTTTACTGCGCTTTTCTTATTACTTTGTTATTCATTAAATATTTAGCTCTTCTTCCAATTGCAGATTGATTTTATTCGAAAGGACTATACATTCCTGCATCACTCCTCAATTTATGTAACATGCCTAGGATGAACCAGGCCACTCACCTTCACCTTCGTCAAGAGCGTCGGTCTACCAACTGTCTCATGATCTTTGTGGTTGTGATGAGATATCATTCCAGATCCAAAGCTCTCGGACATGCTGTACACTGAAGACGGGGAGATAAAGCTGTTAAAAATAGTGACACTTTTGTGTGTGTGTGTGAACTCGGCCAAGCGATGCATATATAGCATATCTATAAGCCAATAAATTGCACCCAAACCTCCAAATGAGCAGTTCGCCGTTACATGTTTTGCTGCTAACTTGCAGGCCATAAAAGCAATAATTTGTCAGCGTTGAATATTATCAGAATGCATGGCGGGCATTTTGTTATTGCAGTTATAGTTTATTCTAATTATATAGAAATTACACTCATGCTTTGAAAAACGAAAGTGAGGATGGGCCTCAGCGTGAGGTCAGCGAGCTTAACCTACCAGCACTGTGCTGCCAGTGTTATGGTACTATGGTGAAGCTAGTTTTCAAATTGGTTTTAACATTGTGAACCAGTCGTCTCTCGATTGAAATTTCTTCGCGTACATCACGTCGTTTCATAATCATCTCATTTTCAGTCCATCCTCAGCCACGCACAGCTATTCAATATTTCTGCTTTGCCGCGAGGCATTGCACTTTGAAACAGTCTTCCTGGTGAGAATGTTTCGTTAAGAGACCCTACAAAATTTTGGGAGCATTTGCAAGCTTACATGTCTCCTTCATTTTTGTAAAAAGATGTTTTTAGTTTTTCTTATTTTTCGTTTGGTAATTTACTACATTGTATTAAAACATTTGTTCATTTTCCTTCCCTTGGACAACTTTCTTCGTTTTTTCCTTGATGCAGTTTTTATGCTTTATTTATGGTGAATTTTCTGTACTTCCACCCATTACTACTCAATGCTTTTCGGGGCCTGTAGGGAACCATGAATAAATAAATAAATAAATAATGTGTCTCGTAGATGGGTTTTAAGATATCTTGAGGTAATATATCGCTTGGGTTTCACGATCGCGTTAAACTACTACCACTTTTTTTCAACGCGTAAACGATCAGTTTTTCTTTAGTCTCAGCTTCCTTCCACATCGAGTATACTTGTTCTATCGAGTATACTTCTTAGTAATAGTCTCCCAAATCATCGCTTCATCATCTCGAGCACCTCAATCGTGCACCGGACGGTGTTACCGTCCTCTTCCTGCTGCGTGCGCTGCCTGACTCACGTGTCGGATTCCTATTTGACACGTTCTACTCCATCGTCATGGACAGTGCACACGAGATTCCACCGTGGCCGCTACCTCATCAAAGGGTGCCGCTCCCCATTGGTTTCGAGAGCCCAGGAGTACGCTCGAAACGCTCCACCCCAGCTTGTGCCATCGCTCAGGAAGCCAACGCCAGAATGAACAGGATCTAGCTAATAGGACACAGTTTCTTACTGGCGCCTCCGTCCTACAAGACCACTCTGCTGCCGCTGCGGACACCGCACCACACCTGGCATGGAAGCGCCAATGCCGGCTCGTCAACCGCGTCTCATCCATCACGGCCGAGCTGGTAGACACCCCCCTCGTTGCCGACCTCATCGGTGAATCTTCGCAAGTTTCACGCGCGGCTATCTTTACGGACTCACCATCTAACCTTCGCCAGCTCGCCAAGGAAGACCGCGCACCCCAACAACGTATGGCGCGGTCGCTCGCTACACAGCCTGCGCGATCATGGCCTCGACATCGCCCTTCAATGGATCCCGTCTAACATTGCCACCGCAGGGAATGAGGCTGCCGATGACGGGGTAAACACAACACGCGACCCTGCGTTTTTACTGTCAACGTGCGCGGACTCCGTGAACTCAGCGCGCCGAAACCTTTGGCGCGAGCTCGGGCGAAGTCATCCCGACCAACATATGGCTGGTGGCCGTCCATCACGCCATTTACCGGAGGGTACGCTAACCAAAAAAGAGCGCTCACTCCTCCTCGCGCTCCTAACCAGATCCGTCTGACCTGCCGATTGTCGACATCGTCTGCGCCCTTTTGCAGTAACTGTGGTGAAAAAGAAATCGGCGCATCTTCTCCTGTCCAGCCATTCTTGCCACCACGAAACGCTCACGTGCTCCGACAAGCGGCTGGGACTGTCCTCTGCTACGGCGTATGACATTCTCCACCAGGTATAGGATCAAACTATAATGTGCGCTCTGCCCTGCGCGCAGTCCTCAACTTCATCGAGGTTGCGCAACTGATCGACCGCCTCTAAACCGCGCAGACTCGGCCTGGACCTGAGGGGCGAGGAACTTCTGTTTTTTTTTGGCTGCCAGTCCTCTTTTAACCTCCCCCGCCACGCTCCCAATGCCCATTCCACTCACCACTATGAATTTATCTCTTCCCCTACCTTTTCCTCCTTCTGCTCCAAGTGTTGTGGTTTTGGTGTCTTCGCCTGAAAGACAGTTACTGCACTTAACCCCCTTATTCCCCCTCTTTCATTTCAAGAATCTCTTCCGTGGAAGATAGCTTCTTGGAAACAGAATTTGTTTATCAGAGATTTTTTTTAAAATACTATAGTAATCGTAGTATCAGGATCGAATTCATACTTCATTGTCAACGGCTTTCAACAAACAGTCCACATAGATAAGTTATGGTAGGTGTTCAGGGATTTTTTACTTGATTTGCATTTTAATACGAAGCATTATAACCATTCGGGCACCTCGACAGTAACACGTAACACATCAGAAAGCTCGCGCTGTTGAGAAACATTTAAAATAGAAAGGAGCTTTGATTTTTGCTCTTGGTGTGTCTCTTCAGCTTGAACAGAAGGGGGGTCAGGAACCTCCTTGGCCGATAATTTATGATACAACCGGGGTGCTCGTATATTCACACCGTGGTTTGCACTAAAATGTGTCGAATGTTGTCATTCACTTCAAACACGAAACCTAATTTGCCATAAAAATGTTTCGAAATTGACAATTACTATAAAGTTCTTGTACAGTTACGTGGACACGGACCTTGCGACGTTCCCGAGATTTAAGGACTCTTTTCACGGTTTCCTACTTTAACACGAGCCGCCAGTTTTACAATGTTGTATTACAAAATGATTGAGGCATGCATCTTAAAATACCAATTGGCTAAAATTGGCGCCTGTGCAGACCGGCCAATGTCTTCGCTCAAAACACGTTGTCTGACTAAATTAGTGCTTCGAGCAACTCTTCTGTTATCTGCACAATCTATATCCACCTCCTTTTGATGACATGAGGCGCTCCATACGACCACTCTTGCAATGCTATACGACACAAAGCGCTAATGGCGTGTCTAGTTAAAAAAAAAGAAGCATTTCATCTGTTCTTGGGACTCGCACAAGTTGTTCATGCGAAGTCTTCTACAAAGTGCATTGATAGCAAGTTTTCCCGTACTTGAGGCAATCAAGTGAAATGCTTCCTTATTAGATATCGCTACGCCACGAGTACATCCCCCCCCCACACACACACACGCACACGCACACACACACACACACACACACACACACACACACACACACACACACACACACACATACACATACACACGCACTCGCCCCGCCGCGGTGGTCTAGTGGCTAAGGTACTCGGCTGCTGACCCGCAGGTCGCGGGTTCAAATCCCGGCTGCGGCGGCTGCGTTTCCGATGGAAGCGGAAATGTTGTAGGCCCGTGTACTCAGATTTGGGTGCACGTTAAAGAACCCCAAGTGGTCGAAATTTCCGGAGCCCTCCACTACGGCGTCTCTCATAATCATATGGTGGTTTTGAGACGTTAAACCTCACATATCAATCAATGAATACACACACACACACACGTTGGCGTGTTTAACGCCAAATTTATGGTTTCTCGACGAATTTCGTTTGTGAAGGCCAATGAGCTGAGTTGTTTTGTGCTTTTGTACAAAGCTGACGGAGTGCATCGACAGGGATAATTGACACCAGTCAACATCTGCTGTAATATATCCTAGAGATATTTTTTCGGTTGTGCCGGTGAGCACTTCTTTTGTTTCTCCAAGACCAGGTAACGCCACCGGTCGGTGATCATCGGCTCCGCGACAGTCACAAGATTCAAGCGATGCAAGGGGCCCCCCTTCTGCAGCCTCCAGAAAGTTTTTTTTTTTTTTGCTAAATAGAGGCGCCTCTACCAATCCCCTATACTACCGTCACCCTTTCTACCACAGTGCCTTCGGTGCAATAAAATTGGCAATAAACGTGCTTTCATTCATTCTTTCCTTGTGTTATGTACTCGTTGCAAGGTCATCACTAACTACCCTCTATCCATACAGTATCTCGTATAAGGTGGTTGAGCGCTTCCACCGAAACTCGTTAATATGCCAATGTCGCGACCACTAGCGAGTGCCCCTATTGTCTTGTGAAGTTACCTTGTCGCATTTTTCGGGATAGGCTTCTATATAATTGTTTGAAAACTTGATCGGAGTGTCTTAATGCGCTGTGAATGACGAATCACGTGCTAAGAAGGTGATTCTTTTTTTGCCTGTGTGTTCAACAACAGCTGAGATAGGATTTAATAAATTGGTTCGCGAAGGCAAACACCACTATCAGAAGCTTAGGCTTTAACTGCCTCGACCAAAAATTGTGAGGAGCGTAGCTAGTTTATGTATCTTCATATGACATCTGATAAGCCATGTCACATTCACGTCACGAGTCGCGTATCCTCTTAATAGGTGACCAGTAAAAGAGCGAGGGACTGTGGGATACACCGTCTGCGGCCACATTCCGGTTCGAGAAGAGTAGACGACAATAAACCGCTTCGCCGCAAGCCTCAAATTATCCGGAATTCGCGCGTTTGTGCACCCGTTTATCTCCGTCCTGATAAACCATGGTCGGTTGTTCAGCCGTTGGCTGCTCCAACTTGAGCGTGCAAGGCAAACACAGGTATCAATGCTCATGTAATGAAGACGAAAATGAGGTGGGCCGTGACTGTGAAGAGAGCCGCAGCGACAGGTAACCTTTGAGTACGGAACTTTGAAGCCACAGTGTGTGAAAACCACTTTATCACAGGTACGTGTGTATTCCACACTAAAAAAAAGCTTACGCAAGAATCTGCTGATAATATACTGAGAAACAAATTGTCGCGCAGGCGCGCCTAGCAAGAAATATTATGGGAACGAGTGGGCAAAATCTACCTGCCATACGAGATTAGCGCCTGCCATTGCACCCATATACATGACAAAAAGCGCAAAAGCTTCACTCAATATCCCGGCTGCGGCGGCTGCATTTCTGATGGAGGCGGAAATGTTGTAGGCCCGTGTACTCAGATTTGGGCGCACGTTAAAGAACCCAAGGCGGTCGAAATTTCCGGAGCCCTCCACTACGGCGTCTCTCATAATCATCAGTGGTTTTGGGACGTTAAACCCCACATACCAATCAAAGCTTCACTCAAGAGTAAGTTCACACGAAGTGCTTGGCGAGTTCATTTGCGTTGATCTTGGTCAAACGTGCGCCAGGACGACACCCAAAGAAAGAAGTGCGTTAAACAGGCTGTCACAGAACGAGCGCTCAAAATGGGCGCGCCGCCAAATTTTTGCAATAACGCGCGGGAGAGATGCCGCGAGGTCAACGGAAAAAAAGAGAAAACAAGCATCCAAGGACTCCCCGGGGCGCGCGACCCTCTCTCTCGGAAGCGTAGGCTCGCCGACGAACCTCCTCACCCCACAACGGCGGCCGAGCAAGCACTCGAATTTTCTAGATGGAAAGGGGCGTGGTGATGCCGGGTTGAGTCATCCGTCGCGGACGGCCCTCGTATTGTCTCGACCTTTCCCCCAGCCTTCGCTGCGCATCGCGCCGACGAAATGATGAGAACTTTCTGGAATCTCGCGCGGAAGGTATTTAATCGAGCAGCCGAGACGAAAGATCAGGAGAAGACGGAAGTTAGCGCCAGAGCGCGTAGGGATTCCGCCGTGTAGTCGGGGAAGGTTATGTCCGTAGAGACAAAGCAGGAGAAGAAGATGATTTCCACCTGAGGGGTGACGACTCGAGCTACAGGCAAGAGTGTGTGTTTACCGCTATCGAGCAAAGACGCGTGGCAACAGCTGCGTGTGTGAAGCCGACGTGTTTCCGGCGAAGAGGTTTGAAGCTTGGAGAGTGGCCAATTGAAGACGCAAGGTTTCCTGGAAGAGAAACTTCGGCGAGGTTTCCTGGAAGAGAAACTTCGGGGGCAGCGGAACGACAACAACGCTGGACTTTTAGTGAGTGATTCTCGGAAGAGTATCATTCAGACTTTTGTTCCAAGAACTTTGGACTGAATAGGTTTTCTATCTTTTTAGTCTTTAAGTGTCTTGGTTGTTCAATGCATGCGACTGCATTGTAGTGCGTATTGTTGTCTGTGTCCGTTGTTTTGAGTGTGGCTGATTGTACTGTGTAGTACGTTGTTTGGTTGGTGACATATTGTTCTCAACTATTGTGGAGTGTGCATACTTGTGTATTGTTTTGATCTGTCATTAGTGAGAATATAACTTTGTTTTGGTTATCAACTCTCGGCTCTGACTTGTTCTTTGGGCCACAGCCGGCGTCTGTTGGCGCGCCAAAAAGGGCCACTTCTAAATTGTTCACGCTTTCGTGGTGCGGTTTGGGGGGTCGATACTTCGGCCCTTGGAATTAGCGCGGCGATCGCCTCCCTAATTAACGGGACCTGTGTGACACAGGCACAGGGTTTAGATTATTCGGCGCCGTCTATGTCTGACTGTATTGTTTCAGTGCCGCCGTGCTGTGCAGCTTGGCCAAGATCAGCGTTCAAGTGAGCATCTGGCTTTGCCTAAGAAATGCATGTTATAGCGCGCTGAAGGCTAGAAAAAAAAAATATCTCAACGCGCTCAATAAGCGTTGCACTTCATGCCGATCGATTGACGATGTCGGCCGAAGCAGCAATCCCGAAATAAACTTTTAGCACACTGCTACAGTCATTTACCTGCGGCGGCTGCATTTCCGATGGAGGCGGAATTGTTGTAGGCCCGTGTGCTCAGATTTGGGTGCACGTTAAAGAACCCCAGGTGGTCGAAATTCCCGGAGCCCTCCACTACGGCGTCTCTCATAATCATATGGTGGTTTTGGGACGTTAAACCCCACTTATCAATCAATCAATACAGTCATTTCCATCCCCTAAGGTCTTCAATATGGTGACTTTTTATCTGCACAACCCTATAATACAAGAAAAACTGTTTTATGTATCACCTGATCTGCTAGCCAAACTGACAGCACCCCCGAGCAGCATAAAAGCATTGCATATCATTTAAGTGCGACAAAAAAGTTTCCGGAGCGTTCACGGCTTTCATAGCTTGTCATCGTCACAGTCATGGTTGGCAAAAAAAAAAAACTTCTAAAGCACTGACATTGCAAGGCCTGGTGCTTTTTTTTCAACGGAGCAGTACAGAAATAGGGAGTTTTAGTGCTGGGTACGCATTCTCTTGGGGCCTTGCGGGCTTGGGAGCGTGCGGCGTTGCGTGCCCAACCCATACCCAACCGGAATTCCTTTTAGTTGGCACCACGGTGGCACGCACGCAAACGCAAGCCGCACGAAGGTCACACGCGCTCGCAGCGCCATAGCGTCTTGTCGCGTAAGTATTATTTAGGTATTTTTATGATTTAAAATGTTAAATTAAACATACATAGTGATCAGGACACTTTTTATTGTGTACAGTATCCTGGTATACGCAAAAAAGTGAAAAGACAAGGTTAATGTAACGGCAGTGTCGACATCTTGTGACACTTCGTGCAACCACAGTCATGAACATGTTAGCTTACGCGTAATGTTTCTGAGGTGAAAATGAATAAAATCGTTACTCATTTGTAATATTGTCGCTGCGCAGTTTTTGCACCAGATGTACCATGCACAATGTTTCTGCAATAACAAAAGTGTGGTTGTTTATTTCACTATGACCTCGCTAGATGGCGCCACCTAGTCAGCTAATCGGGAGATGGCAAATTTTTAGTTCTATGTTCCAGGCCATTCTAGCTGTGGAAATCTGGCTGAAACCGTGTAATCGCTACAAGTGATCGCACTTTGGCTTATTTTAACTCGACGGCAAGAGTATCCGCAGTGCGGATACCGTGAATTTTCGCGAAGGTGGACCTTACAAGGCGGCCGATCCATGCTGTCCGAGATTTCGCGACTTTGTGCCATGCTATTCGTATAGTGGCTAGCCACTATAATATTTGCGCTTAAAACTTGAAAGTCAAAGTGGTGGCTCAGGCCAGCCTCGGCTTTGCTCGCCGTCAAGGTAACATGATGCGCCAGCATGTGCGCCACGGCAGCTTATCTCCGCTAGGAGGCCAGTGGTGGCAGCGTTGTTTATGGCCGCACAGACGCATCGCCCCAGCGATCTTGCGACGCATCTCTTTGGGGCTTCGCGCATGCGCAATACCGCCGCCCCATCGTCCTACGTACGCAAGCCGCCTGCGTACCCAGCACTAAAACTCCCTAATAAATGCGTGCGTGCCGCTGCTGAACCGCGTGGTGCGTCGAAGCGGAAGCCGTGTTATCCCACAGTTCCCTGCCATTTCCGATTTTACCGCTCACCTATTCTAGCTCTCTACACTTCTCGCGGCACATATGCGCTTGTGGTTTTTGTGGGCTGAGGGTTTACTCGCAATATTTTTGTGTTCACGTCAAGGTGGGTACTTTCGGCAGAACCCCATGTGAAGGTTGCTAGCATGACAGTAATATCGACGTGCGATGCGTGGTATGAGATACTGTGGATTCATTTCCTGGTAAAAACTCCAGCTGGTCCCATTATGTGGGTGAGAATTCTTAATTCTATTGATTTCTTTGTCTATTCTTGTTGCATTCAAAGCGTTCATTCCGCAAATGAAATTACTGTTATGTGGTCAAGGTGTCAGAACATTTTGCTTAGAATGTCTGAACCTCTTCAAGGGCTCTTGAAACAAAGTGGTGATGTATTGGCGTTCCATACCCTGCGCATCTCTGGCAAATATGCTCAGACCTCTCAAACAACAGTTACCGTATGGCCACTAATGAGGGCCAGGCCTTCAAGAGGGGCTGCCCCATTGCAGTTCAGTGCTGTGCGACAAAGCCGTCTCTCGCAAGAACAGGGACTACGTACGAAGCAAAGGCATGGCGTGTGAGGACAGAATATGAATGACATGCGTGCTTGATTTAATAGATGGCATTGCAGACAGTGCACTTGCTATACATGCCTCATGCGAACGATTCCACACGTGATATGACAAGCGTGATATTCGTTTACCGTATTACAAGAGTGACGTGGCGTGCATGCATGACATGAGTTGGAACGCTGTTTGACATGCGGAACTTGCACACGTGACACGGCATGCAGTTTTACACAGAGCTCTTGCGTGTCTTACCCGGCCTGCAACAAATACACTGGGAATTTTCACAGATTCATTATGGGAAATCGGAGTGCTGTCTAACTTTAACATACCTTGCCCAAAGTGATCCAGATTGAACCTGTGAAGGGTCTCTTCAACTATCACGGACGGCGTAGCACTTCCACCGACGTAGACTTTCTTGATGCTGCTCACATCATATCGCTCGATCAGGGGACTTCTAACAATCTTCTGGAGAATGGTTGGAAACTGGAACATGGCTGTACCCTGAAAAGTGGTGGCACAGAATTATGGCGTTTATTAAAAAAATAACGCTGACTTTAGGGCGGTGACTATGATAAACACGGTTTGTACTATAGATAAATACTAAATTGCTTGACTGCAGCGTACGTATGACCTTTTAACTCTGTTCGTCAAACTGCATTGCGTATCTTGACCCATTGATGCGCGAAAAGTCAGTGTGAATCGATGACTGTACGTTTCACGAATTGCACGCTTAATTAGGCTGAGCATACCCCTACAGAACGAACACAACACATTTTCACACATCCCAATTACTTTCGCGAGCTCAGCGTGAAACCCGACTTTAATAAATCTGTCATCCAACAGTATTGTTAGCAAGTACTTCATTATGAACCAACAATCGAACAGACCCTCGTGTGCAGGCGTGATCAGTGGTGTGTCTAAATTTTTCTGGGGCGTGCCCAGTGACTGAATCCGGTCCTAAAGAAGACACAAATGAGCAAGAATGGGAAAGATTGCGAAATTATTGTGCAGATGATACAGCCATGTTGCATAAGGAACTATGTTGGAAAAACGAATTTTATTACCTTGTATTTTTCTATCGCTGGCAAAATATCACATGGCTCGGAGCTTTTGACGAACACCAGGCAGGCCCCACTTGCAAACACAGCATGATTGAAAAGCAGCCCCGACACGTGCGTAAACGGCGCTGCTCCGATCAGCACATCGTGGCTGAGAATGACGTGTGAGTTGTCAATACTGCACCAGAAAGGCAAAGCGATACTCATGCATTTGTAGCCTCTACCACTGCAGCGTATACTTATGGATACCGTGGTAGCGAGCCTACGCTTGTATCAATGAATATTTGTTTTTCCTAATGAACCGTTTTTCAGACACATCTTCTGTAGCGCCTTAGCGGCAATAGCATTTAGTTCATATAAGCACGAGGCTCTGGATTCTACCCCTGTCACGGCGGTCATACTTTAATGAAAGAAACGTGTAGAAAAACCGTTGTACTTATATTTAGGTTGATTGAAAAAATCGCAAGTGGAAAAATTAATTTGAAGTGAACCATACGCAATTTCTCGCATTTTTACAGCTTCTCTTCTTAGTGAAATACTGAAATATAACCCCTTTAACTGTGTTTTAACACTGAAAAACAATTATAGTATATTGCCTCTAATTGGTATATTTTCAAAATGTTTCCGTTTAAGTCGTCTAATCCCTTTTCAGACATGATATTGCTCAGATGCTACATATAAAACACCACTACTGGCCCCACCTTGCTCTGTCAAGTATTTCGCGCTGCTCTTACGATACAATGTTCATAAACACCTGTCCACACAAAGCATCATCAGCTTTTCTTTGCCAGAACACATCCCTGCCCTGTGACGCAGCCCGCCCTCGCAGGTAATTGTCCTCGCCATATTCCGAAGTGAGTGCCAAAGCTGACCCAGACATAGAAATCCCCCCCCCCCCCCCAGAATACGTGTTTAGCAAAACTGTTTGGGGCTGGAAGCGTAGATGCTATCTCTTTTGTGCAATTTGAAAAAAAAAAAAACGTAAACAAGGTGGCCGTGTGATGTGGTATGGTGCAGCCACGAAAAGAGTAAGGCAAGAGAGAAAGGACGAAATGGTTCCAACCTGGAGCCGAATAATTGGGCGACAGCGTTTCTTTGGGACAGCATGGCAGCCTTCGGGAGTCCCGTGGTGCCGCTCGAGAAGACGACCGCCAGTAGGCTTTCCGGTTTCACACTGGGGAGGGAAGCCGCCCGCGGACTTTGCCGTAGCCTTGAGAAGGGAATCATGCCTTCGCGCTGGCCAAAAACCACGAGCATCTGCAAGGAAACATCGTATAAACTCAGTGACACAGACATTCCTATATAGTATACTTTAATGGAAATAGCATATGTGCACGCAAGTAAACAATTGTGTTTCAGGATACTTGATCTACCTCGGTTCCAGCCAAAAACGTATTACGCCGCCAATGTCAGTGTTGCGGAATGGGCGCCTCCGTTCTATTCCAGGGAATTAGAACTTGCTACATTTCCATTCCTTTCAATTCCTCGGAACAAAAAGTAAGCTCATACTCACTACCGGAATGGCTGGGCGATTCAATTTCATTGCTCAATGAAAGAAAGACATCTTGATAGTTTTATTGAGATAGATATGAAGCTGATGTCATCAGAGGCATTAAGGAAGACAAAAGTACGCAAAACACGTTTTCGAAGTCGAGGGATAGTAGCTTGGGGACATATCTCATGCAGTTTCGGGCAAATGCACCCATGTGTGTCGAAACAGGGGGGATAGTATCGCAAAAGGGTGAGGGGGAAGTATGAGCTAAGACGGGGCGCAAGCTGGTATACGAAAGCATCATTCCAGCGTCAATAGGCCACACAACTTTTTCGCTTTTTCGAAAGCGGTTTTTTGAATACGCGTCCGAGTCACCGACAGTGATAGAAGCGAAAATAAAGTTAATGGTTGGGAGACAGCAGGCAGCTGGAGCGCCACCAAAGAAAAAAAGATCACAAACAAAAATTGCTAATAGAGGGAAGGGGAGGAGTGTATGCCACCACCGTAGTTCCGCACGACGGATACCATCAACATCGAACCACGGTTACGCGACAAATAGAGACGAACTTTGGAGCAACACAGCCTACACACACACACACACACATATATATATATATATATATATATATATATATATATATATATATATATATATATATATATATATATATATATATATATATGCACCACACTTATAATCTGTCAAGTCATCCTAAATATACTACTTTATTGTTTAATTCGAGCCTCTGACTTGGTAATGTTTGAGGTTTAAAAAAACAGCACGTAGAAAGAAACGTGCTCTATTTTCTGAAAGGACACGTATGTACATTCTCAATCAATTCCATGCTGAAGGCGCTTAATTCAATTTCCACTCCGTTCCTACAAGCCTTGTCGCCATTCCGTTCCCATTCTGTTTCGGGGTCGCGCAACTGTGGAATGATTCCAGAGTGATTCCAATTCCGGAGCGGCAACTTTGCAACACCAATTTTGTAAGGAGCATCACATTAAAAATAAAGCGTCATGTATGTCCGTGTAATGGTATAAAGTCTTCGTTTTCAAATTATATGCCGAAACATTCAAATGTATTTACAAGGGAAAGTATACTAAGCGAAGCACAACAACCTCGATGGTCAGACAAGCGGTGGTTAAAACCTTGCGCTGTCTCCTTCATAGGGGTTTACCATCCAGCATGAGAATGTTAGTTTTCAAACGCATTCAATATATGTTTCAGCTTCACCGTTTTTATGCAAGCGTATAGTTACTGATACCCATTTGAATGTAACGTAGCCAAGGAATTTCATTTTTGGACGAAAGGAACATTTCTTGAAGGCCTTGGCAAATGCCTATATTTTATTTATAGCCTGGGTACAACACAAACCTCTATCCAAATTTTGGAGCGGAGTAAACGGAGCAATACCCCCCACCCTCCCTTTCCAGACTAGGGGCCTGGAATGCATCACAAGTTGCAGAGCATTAAGAAAGAAATACTGCATAAGAACTCTAGCGTAAATAAATAAGCTCACCTCCTAGTTGTATTAAGACGTTATTCATAGGTCAAGTGTGATATTCTGTAGATGCAGCAGCTCTTAGCTTACCTTAACACTGGGTACTGTCTTGCAGGCTTCCTCTGCCTTGTCTGCGTTTTGTTCATCGCAAAATACAATACAAGGCTTCGTTTCCTGGAAATCGTAGTTTACTTCACCTGTAAAATGAAGGTCAAGCCGTTGTCAATATCAAAATAAATAAATAAATAAATAAATAAATATTCATCGTTCAGGTCACCGGTCGCATACACCTACCATGCAGAGTAAACCTTTATCAATAAAATTAAGGCACAAGTTAGAACAGTGGACTGATGGTGATGTGCAAAAAGAAGCGATGAAAAATCTACTCATGGCTTAGACAAGTAGTCGAAGACCCGAATGTTGAAGGCTTATTGTCCGTAAGTGAGCTATGTCACTGGCTGTATGCGTTTAGTCACATTCGCGGTATTTCATTCACATGCCCGAGATAGACGGTAACTGCTTTTACGAAAAGGACCAGTAGCGCATATGCTTTTGCTGTGAATCAGTCAGTCAGTCAGTCACTCTATTCCTATAGTTCAAGGTTTTTAGAACCCATAATTTTTAAAAGAACGGAAAACATTAAGGGGCCGTGCTGTCGTGTGTCGTCATCTCATGTCATCGCTTGACGTCACACAGGCAAAACCATTTACAGCACAGCCATGCATGGGAGAACAGCGCTAAAATGGTGGTGCGCCGAAATAGGGCCCCTAGCAGAGAGTTCCGACATCGCTCTGCCACTCGCGCAGACGACCAGCCGCAGTGTGTACCGCTGGGAGTGCTCGCAGGTATGCCTTCCGGTGCTTGATTTTGGCACGAATGCTTCGAACAGCCCTTGTACCCGTAATACTGCAGTGCGGTTTACTTTATCACTTGATATCTCTTCATCTTGAGATATTTTCACAGGAAAGCGCTGGAAAACAGAGAGAAGCTCGGTAAAGTGGAGTGGTAGCGGCTGGGATATATGCGCTATTTAACCATCAGGTCAACCGCGACAACTCCCGCTTTAGTTCCCTATGATATGGCATAGTAAATATGGTATTATGAAGGAAACGGAAGTGGGTGTGAGGTGAAGGCAAACAAGGGGGGGGGGGGGGCGGGGAGTAAAGATAGTATAGCCATGTATGGCGTCACACACGCAAAACCATGTAGACCACCGCCACTTATAGCATAGCCATGCATAGTACAATATAGCAAGGGGTGGGAAAGAAAACCGACAGAGAGAAGTGATGTGAGAGTGAGGAGGAGGGTAGAGCATAGCATTATCTTGTATAGCAGTAGAGCAATGGCGTGAAAAGTGGGGGTGAGTGTAGGTGTCACGTGAGAAAGGGGAGGGAAATCGGGAGGTAGAGGTTAAATTACAGCCTAACCGTGTGCAATATAGCGCGGGAATTAAAAGATTAGCGAGGGTAAGGAGGGAGGGCAGGGGGGTAAAGCATAGCGTAGCCATGTGTAGTGGGAAGGAAAGGGTGAGGGGCGACACGAGAGTATAACAAATGAAGGTTGCGATACTCCCATGTGATGTCACTGTATCACAAATGAAAGTTTTTGTCGAAGCGCAGACGTCGAGAGCAGGCTATACGCATCGGAACGCGAGCGTTTTTGAACGGCACCGAAGCACGCGTTCCAGATTACTCACCATAAAAATCACCAATTTGCCTCCTAGTTCAGTCCATTTGTGGTCGTATAGACGAAAACGAATAATAAAGGCCAAAGTTATCTTAATCTCCTGACACCCGTACCACAACACATACGTCGTAGTTAATCTTGACGGTATACCTGTGAGCCTGTTTGTACAAAGCATGCAAAATTTATCAGGTTTTAAAATCTAAACAAGGAAGCAATATTTATTAGCCGGTTTCTGTAATGAGCTTCGATCAGTCATTCATATATTACATGCATTATCATGAGGACCTCCTTCGAAGATCTTAAGATGACGCCGATATACAGTACAAAACTCCCAGTATTATTTTCCTATTTTTTAAATATCAAGCTACCACCATCGCCAGCAAACCACAAAGCCCTCACAAACAATCCGTCTGCTTTTTTGTCCCCACCCAGATTGAACTCCTGAGTACGTAGAGACATTTACTGGCATCGAAGTGCGTTCAAGTGTTTCTTATCGTCTTAAACCACTCCAACGCAGCGCAAAATAGGCGTTTGTCATCGCATGCACATACGTAGTGGTTACAAAAGCGCTTGTGTTCCCACGGGGTTATGCTTTCTAATTTACACACACACAAACGCACGCGCGCGCGCGTTTGTGTGTGTATGTGTGTGTGCGTTTGCGTGTGTGTGATTCATGCGTTATGCACTAGGATGCGTTGGTGCGAGTTTCATGCCTAAGATTACGCGACATAACGACGGAAGCTAAGCAGCCGACCCCCGCTGGTCAGGAGAAACCTTTGATATTAAGCACTTCTTTTGTTCTGAATCGGAGTGTTCCTTCAAGTGGCTGCTGTACATGTTTCGACGAGGTGAATTAAAAGGTATTCGTAAACTACGCCTCATTTATTTGTCCAAGAAAAAAAGAAACGAGAAACACAACTGTCATAGGACTCGGTATAACACGAAAGTTAAACGTGTCTCCTGAAAGGTAGTTGAGTGTTTATTGTGCATTGCCTCCAGAAGACGAATAAATAAATGCAACAGCTACAAAATATAATGTCATGGGAAAAATGGCAAGCTGCTTTTACTTGCATCAAGTTCCTGAAGCACAAAGAACGCACGAAAACAACATACACAGGATGAGCACTCCTAACAACTGTCACAGCTTGTCACTTGAAGCGCTCTGCTCAAACACAAAGAAGGACTCACGGAACGAACACGCAAGTATGCAGAGGATGAGCGCAAGCAACTTGCACAATTTCTCGTGTGTGAGCCGCGTGCTCCTTCCTCAAGCGCGGCTGCTGCAGCGAGTAAAGTGGCCTTCTTGCTCTCTGTGGCTTTACCGCACAATCTGTGAAAGCTCAAGATGTAACTAAAAACCACAGCGATTACGAAACGAGTACGGACTTACGCCCGGTTGAGGTGCACGTGCGTCGCAAAGCGCGGGTCAACAACTTTTAAAGCGCGTCCTGTGGACACGGTGAAGTCACTGATCTCCGAGTGTTGTTATCGCGAATGAATAGCTCGCCGTTGATAAGCCGAGCAACGTGCGCTTTGTAGCCGAGCCGGTTCACGCTGTGGAGAGAGATGTCATAGGTGACTCCCGCTGACGGAACTAAGACGATAGTCTTTCTTGGGGACCTTCGACGCAAAAACTTTGGTCTGTGTGTCTGTCTCTCTGTCTGTCTGTCTGTCTGTCTGTCTGTCTGTCTGTCTGTCTGTCTGTCTGTCTGTCTGTCTGTCTGTCTGTCTGTCTGTCTGTCTGTCTGTCTGTCTGTACATTTGTCTGTTTGTCCACCGTTACCGCGAACCAGGTACTCGAAACAGCACCAGCAGATCCCCGAACGGCTGACCCCATCCGCAGAGCCCACTAATGTTGCTCAAGGATCAGCGCTCATACGCGTGCTATTGTTAATAAAAAGCCATTATTTTGCTTATCTGAGGCACCATAACAACACGTATATATTCTGCATGTTCGTATTAACTAGAAATAGCATGCATAAGTAATTTTAAGGATCGTAGCGCTTATCACGCTGCGCTGACCATGCGACGCTTGCACGAAGAAGTGATTGTTTCCAACGCTTTGCTAAGACGACACGGTGGTGGCACCTACCCGTCGCCTTGCGTTCTACACCTTATCACCTCTGAGACGGGCTCGCACACCCGTATCAGGGCCACGCGCTTTGTTTTCTGAAAAAAAAAAAACTGCCAGATGGGGCTCATGCCTCACGTGTGACGTGACTTGATGCGCTCGTTTGCCTCCGCTGCACGCTCGAGGCACTCTAACGCAGCGCCTCCGGTATACCATTCACCGATTTTCTTGCGCAGAAGATTGATTGATTGATTGATATGTGGGGTTTAACGTCCCAAAACCACTATATGATTATGAGAGACACTGTAGTGGAGGGCTCTGAAAATTTAGACCACCTCGGGTTCTTTAACGTGCACCCAAATCTGAGCACACGGGCTTACAACATTTCCGCCTCCATCGGAAATGCAGCCACCGCAGCCGGAATTCGAACCCGCGCCCTGCGGGTCCGCAGCGGAGTACCTTAGCCACTAGACCACCGCGGCGGGGCCTTGCGCAGAAGATCAAATAAATGTTTCGTTCACTCTCTCCACACGCATCTTTCGACGACATTTGAAGATTTTATGCCGATACAGGGCCAATTTTTTCTTCTAGTTGTTTTGTTTTTGACCTCAGTAAATATTTTACAACGTCATATTCCTGATGGGAATGCGTCAATGGAGCCATGGTGGGTCCCAGCATGAAACACCTTTGTGTTAAAAGAAAAAAAACCGACAGAAGACACATGAATAATGAAAGCAGAAAAACTCACGTGCTGCGAGGCTCGCTTTGGCTAAAACCACAGATCCACCGGCGAACGCAGTGCCGTAGAAAGCAATCATGGCATCCAGGCTGGTCTCGCAGTGGATGCCAGCCATGTCACCTGGCCTGAAGCCGAGGCTGGCCAGGCCAGCGGCGACACGGGTGCTGGCATCCTCAAGCTCTCCATACGTGCAGCTCTCTCCTGTGTCGCCATTTATCTGATGGTGAGAAGCAAGCTGTCAGAACGTGGCAAGGATTGGCAGTGAGAGTGCCACACAAAAGTAACAAAGCAAAAACAACGAGAAAGCTGACGCATTATTCGCAAGTCATTTCAGCGTGTGCTGTGTTTGTGTTCAGTAGTTGATGCTGAACATCTCCGTACTTCGCTCATAACAAAGTCTTGCACGTGTACATTTATTCACTCACCGCGTTCTTTGAAACGCTTATACGCTATCTCCCAGCCAATAGATAACGAAATTATAACTGGCAGTATCGCTTCAACATGATATAAACAGCCGATATTGGCACAATACAGATCATGCGCATACAGTTGTTCATTTTTGCACAGATGTGAGTCGAATGTTTTTCGACAATGGTTGCAGCTACTAGTGCGAGCATTTTATCAAGTATACCGGTTCGTCTGCGATAGCATGCACGGTTTCTTTTGGCGGAATGGACGGTAATGATTTTGTGGTAGCGAACGCTTTTAGCATATGAGTGTAAATTTGTTTTCCCTTTATTTTACCATATAGCTGCTTTCTATAACGCGACAGTCTCTGGAGCTCAAAATTCGATCACTTCCGAAGCTGCAGCACCACTGTAACGAATAACAGATGAACGTGGTTGTTAATTGCTTTTTTTTCTTCTTTTACACTCATGAAATGGAGTTGAATCAGGCTACCCAATGTTAAAGGCATGAACAACCCGAGAGCAGGACTCTGGATAAACTACTCTGGATAGTCATCAAAGGAAAATTGCACGATCTTACAAAGCACAACATTCTTTAGCACTTTCGTGACCACGAGAAACTTGGCCGTCGTTGGGTAGATCAGTAAACCTTATTTTTTATGGCACCCAAAGTTACCTATGTTATTGTGTATGGTGTCAAATTGTACAGTTAGAAGTTTTCTCTCAAAAACGGCCAGTTTCAAACCACAAATTTATTAACAATTGTACGAAAAAAGTTATCAAACAAAAAAGATTGTAAACATGAACAAATAAATTTCATACAACCATCAACACTGCTCTGAACAGGCTAAGCATAAAAAGAAATCGAAATATACATTTCAAGCGCGCGCAAGGAGTACACACAATTATCCTTCAAGTATAGGCGCTGTAAATACGAAAGTTTTTCTGTACATGAAATAACGTTACACGTAGTGTCTTTCATGCCACCAAGCAAAGCAGTTTCGCGATGTGGTAAAACACAGGCTTGCTACGCATGTTTCACAGAAAACACTTGCTTTTCGTTCAACTTTTCTTTGTTCATAGCATAATTCACAGTTCCTGATATATATATTTTTTTGGCTGGTGCCGTTAGCCCTGAAGAGCGTTTCATGTAGGAGCATCAAGATGGACTGTGAGACCTCCAAGAACCGTCTTTCTTGCTGAACGTCGGCTTCTGAAACATCTACGTCCAAACATGTGCTTTTGCATAGCTCTCCAATAACTTTACCAATAAAAAACAAAAAAAAATCGACAGCGCTCACGAAGCGCCGCGCGGCACTACGTAACGGGGTTTCAAGGTTCACTCCTGGCTGCCTCCACGTACGAAACTGCACTCTCTGCGCTGGCAAGTAGTCCCGCCCGAAGGAAGTAAACGCCCTGTACACAAGAGCCCTAACGTTCAGAACGCATCGGATCAACTTACGCCAATCGGCAACAACGCGGCCCGATGCACAAAGCTAAACTCACCGGTGGACGACCGCTGATGTTCTTGGGTGGTTTGACGAACTCTTGTCGTCCGCGCTAAAATCAATCGTCGTCTTCCGAGCGTGTGCTGTTGTCATCATCTGAATATTTCAGCCCAGATGCACGAGAATTCCCCGAAATTCGTCGTTTTCGTGAAGTGGTCACACGCGACGTTGACGCCATGATTGAAACTATGCGCGCTCACTCACGCGCATGAAAAGGCGCCTTAAAATCATCACATGGTGAAAAAAGAAAAACACAAAAGCAAAACTGATAAAGTACTTTTTGTTTTACATGTTAGATAGCACAAGGGGTCCAAAAGCGTTCGAAACAGGGCAAATGTTGAAATGGTAAACATCGAAAACATACTATGGATGGGGATAGGCGCGGTCACGAAAGTAATAGCCTGAACTGGGACCCAGAGAATGTCTGGAGGCTTTCGGGATGTTTGCCTGGTAATGTTAAATTACTTTTCTGCTTGGATTCTTCGAAAATCAAGGCCAGCGATTTGTCAACACATGTTGGGTCCCAGCGCTTTTTAGAACATTTGCTCGAACACTGACATCTTGTTACGTCTTTCTGTGCCGCGATTATTGAGCCAGTTTATTGATATCGTAGTATGTGTGCGCATACGCTTTCCGCAGCACTGTTCCTAAAAAAAGAAAAAAATGTTCATGGGAATTAATAAATACAAAAAATTGACTCGGAACTGTAGAAACATAATATACTCTTACAATAACTAATTGCGGTGCAATTGGGGAAAGGCATCAGTTTTTTACCTGCTCCCTCATGCTGTTCAATTCCTCCCCAATGTTACTTCTCAGTGAAACATTGTTGAAAAGCTTAAAAGTAAAATGCTTAGGACACTACAGGAATACAGTCATTGAATATGCTCGTTTATTCGCATATCTGCTCATCGTCCAAGCAAGCTATTTTATGGGCTCTATTTTAAGCCCATTTCAAGCTTTCTAGGCTTTGTGTAGGAATCATCTGTTGCCGCCGCAGTTCGTCGATTGACGCCGTAAATCACGAGAGAGAATGTAACAACTGTCGTTTTGATGTAGCCAATGAAGTATACTTCTCTCTCTGGAAAGCGCGTGATTCAAAGAAATCATTTTGACCATACGCTACAGCAGAACGATCACGTTCCAAGGAATGACAGAGAAAGTCCCCTGATATTTCACCGTCATCGGGTTTGTATCTGCATAGAAAAATTTGGCACTTGTTTTCTTGTTCCGAGAAATCAGAATAAGGAGGTGGCATTGATATGCGAGGAAATAAACGTCTTCGAAGTGGGCGAGTGGTGCGTGTGCGCAACATCCGTTGCATCATCGTCCAAGCTTCCTCTTTTCTGTCTCTCTCTCTCTTTCTCTCTCTCAACGAAATTGTTTGAACTGGACCTGTGTGTGTAGGCTTGTGTGTGTCATAGTTTGCCCGCCTTCTTCTCATGAATGCAAAACTTTGTGCCAAAATCGCCCCCCCCCCCCCCCCCCCCCCTGACGACACTGGTTAGGTGATAAGCTACGGTTTACAATAGATAGTGCTAGACACACGCATGCCCTTTTGTGCTTTCTACACGAAACAAAACCCGTGACTTCGAAGCTCTATACTTTGAATGAAAGGCATGACGCTTGCCCCCAACGTCCTTAATAGTATGCGTAGCTCACATGTTACCATAGTATCGATAGATTCAAGCGCGCTGTCGCGTTCAAAATATTCTCGTGCTTAATACATGAAACATGAATTCAATTGAGGTAACTAAACTGAGCAGTTCCATGCACACTTGAATACCTTTTGTTTGCGTTCCATATCTGCTGGCTTCTTTGAGCAGCGGCCATCGTTATGAAGCACTGCGGCAGCCGTATATGACAACGACGGCAGTGATTATGCAACTGTGGTGGTATGAGGAACTCGAGGTATTCGCTCAGAGCTCAGACAACTTGAATGAAGCAATAATTTTATGCGCAGAGCTAGTTGCACTGATGACATCCATACATGTTTACGCTACGAGAAGAAACTAGGACACTGTTTAACGCTTGCATGTGCGCTTTCACAGACGGGACTCCTGCTTGCCGGTGTTCAAGGACTCGCGGTGGCATCATCCTCTATCCTGTGTTATCACCCATCTATGTAACTGTCAAGAAAATAGAATCGCATAAGCGGCTGGACCCCCATAAATACTTTACATGTGAAAAGCCTGTCGGCAAAGTGGCTCGGAAGAGTAACGAAAGAAAGGTAATGCATTGAGTGGCCCTTTTCACGTTAGCGAATGGAGCTAACAAATCAAGCCGACGTATTTAGCAGGTTGTGTCTGCATTAGCAATGTTTTATTTATAGCTCATATTCTGTTTTATTTAGTAGGAACATTAATGGTACATTCGGCCGGCTGTTTCAGAATGCTTCGGAGGTTCTGAGAAATGAATTTGAGAGAGCAACTAAGCGACATTGCCGAAATAAGTGGAATAATACATTAGAAAGGAGAAAATGTACACCTGCGTGTGCTTGTTGTATAACTTTAAAGCTGTTGAAGTCACTAAGGCCTTTCAAGCAAGGTAATCCCACTTCCAACTTTCAAATGACCTTCCTAATGGGCCACCACTACACTCTAAGCCAAAACGGAGCAACAGGGGTATAGGGGTTGCTCCTTTCAGGGAGCAATTGCATTGCCACTCCCATTACTCTCCTAAAAGGAGTAACTGCAGAGGGAGGAACCGTTGCTCTCCTTTCAGTTCCTCCTTCGGGGGATGAACAGTTACTCCCTCCAGTTCCTCCCTGCAGACCAACAGTTACTCCCACCAGTTGCTCCCTGCCGACCAACCATTACTCCCACCAGTTGCTCTTCTAAGAGCAACAGTTACTCTTTACCGTTCCTCCCACGTGTTCGCAGTTACTCTCTGAAAACCAACTGCACATGCTTCCAATTACTCCTTGGAGAAATGAGTATTTATCTCGAGTATGCTTGTCACACGCTTAACACATGGCGAGAGCTCCTTGGAAGAGCACTGCTTGGGTGCTTCTAACACAAAAAGTGGACAATATTGAAAGGAAAATAAATGCTTTATTGTTCTTTTTATGAGGCGACGTGTGACCACACGTAAAAGTAGACTTCGCCACACCACAGCCAGCACTAAACAAACACCATAATACATCAAAGGTTTTCTGCGTCATCCGTGGAAAAACAATCTTGAATTTCTAGCATAGGGCAGTCTGTGTCATCATTGGTGAGAGAAGGGCAACTTCTCCAATTCTGAAGAACTCAAGTTTCGCAGCTGGTGTTTCCATCAGGCTAGCGCAGCAGAACGTCACC